GTTGTTTGGCTGGAACTAGGGGACAGTGAAGTGGCGGCAGCAGCAAGGTGGAGGTGAAGGTGACAAGAAAGGTGGGGCAGGGTTAGTGAAGAAGATGATATATTTTTCTTTGCTTTCTTCGGATTTCATCACAAACTTTGACTTTTTATCATCCAAACGGAGGTTTCCATCATTTGGAACTCAAATCCTACAAAGGTGAAAAATTTGGGACTGTGATGCTCCAGAAGCAGGGTTGGGGACCTAAGGTGTAATTTTCCTTGGACATTAAAGAAAATTAATCTAATGCCAAGTTCATATTGTAGACTAACCGAAGTAAATGAAGATACTGGAATGGCATGTTCGCGTTTACAACAGTTGACAACTGTGTACGAACAGAAAGAGTAAAAGCAAAATGTCCCCTATATTGAATCAAAAGCACGACTTACAACAATTCTTTGTACATGTGGCTTATGCCTATATAGCAATTATGTTTAGCTTCTAAATTGCTATGCTAGATTTTCAGGGCACGTATTAATCAGCTAGTATGTCCACTCATAATCTAATTTATTGTCAGAGAAACAAGCACAATATCACCTTATCAGTAGCTATTTCCCACTTGCTTGTGCAATAAGAAAGAAGAAAACTCATCAAGTGAAAGAACTCCATTTTAAGGTCAGGCCGAGCCTGCAATTATTGTATGACAAAGTAAATAATTAATTTCAAGTTTCAAAGAAAAAAAATGAAGTAAAGAAGCTGACCAAAGAAGTTAGTCGCCATCCAACTAAAAGCTTCATATAAAAAGTTGGATACTAGCAACTTACTAGTGTTTTCTGTATGAAAGTAATATCAATTAATGCCAGATTGTTCAACACCTTCAGCACTCCAGTCGCCACTTCCTCAAAATTAGATGGAAGGACATACGAACTCTGAAGAGAAGTAACTCAATTTCAATTATTCAATACCAAACTAGGAAAACACAATCTAGAATGCTTGAGAGAGATTTTTTAAACACTAATCATTAGAAGCTAAACATGTGTTTCTAATTTGTAGCTCTGCTTTAGTGTCTTTTCCATTCTGTATGTGCTTCAATTGAGAGAACGAATATGAAACAATCTTAATTATGACAATCTGCATCGTCTCAACTAAGTTTTTCTTCCACCGTGGGGTAAGTGCATAAAAGACGGACAGACAGCTGGCTAGGAATAAACCTACACAAACCAGAAATAGGAGCAATCTCGACTTCTTTCTGTAAAAAGTAAATGAAATTAATAGGTTAATTAAACAGGGATATACTAAGTGAATCCTAAGCTGCTGCTGCGAGGCATTGTTTACTTGCCGATTCAAACGAGGTTTAAACTTTAAATTGCATTTCTTCCATAAAACACATTGTCCATCTGTTTATTATATTATCTCAGTATAACAACGAAATGATCTCAAACCTGCATCCACGTGCTGATGCCAAGATGAAATGGACATGCACTGGTTTTCTCTTTGTTCAAGATGATAAACTAAACAGAGGAAGACAGTCTTATTATCAATATTTTTGAGAATCACCAAACAATTATGAACAGTTAAAATACAATCAGCAAAAATATATTGATGAAACAAGGTTCAAAATGCTGGCTCAGAAACTTGAATTAATTTATTTAACAAAATGGTTAAAGAAAAGAAACATTAGTGAAATAGTAAACAATTTATTGCACCTAATATGCATATCAATGAAGGGATGTAAGTACCTGTTCTGCAGATAACCGGTTATTAGCCTGCAATAGCACAGCAGTTAACATGGAAGGAAGACAGACTAAGCCAGTCTCAGACATCGCTGAGAGAAGAAAGGCTACAGGCCGCTTTAAGCCAAAGTCATTTGCATTCTTTTGTTCTGCAGCACAGCTTGAAGAATTCTTTCCAACTTTCTGAGGGAGAGAACCCTCAGGTTTATTATCAGTCGGAATTATTGGAGACTCATCCACGACCTCTACAGTTTTGATCTTATAGCTAATACACTCAATTTTATGTGATTTATTATCAATGAGTACTGGAATATTGTCTAGTGGCCTATCCTCTGGTACATCTGGCAAATTTACAGGTGTGCTACCAGTAGGCAGAAAAGGTGAACTATTATATCCAATAGAATCGCATGAAGTGGAAGATCTTGAGGTTGCAGCCTCAAAATGTTTTGCTTCCCCAGGTGTTTTTCCTGGCATCGTTGCATTTGGAAAAGATTCCCAATCTATTGAGGACACTTCTCCAAATTTGGAAGTCAGAACAGTCAACAAATTTATACTTAAGAGAATAGATGAAGGAAAAGGTGAACCTTCCACCTGAGGCCTATCATAAAGTGCAAAAAAATCCCTTAACCGGTGGATAATTTGGTACTCAATAACAAGCTCTAATAGACCATCCTGCATCTGATGTTGGCGCACATCACAGCTGACATGACCGATAATTGCAGCCACGGACCATAGAAAACCATCTAAAATTTCAGAAATAGTCTCCAAATTTCCAACCGATGTTTTACTTGAGATAAAGTTGGTAGAACCACGGATATTTGATGATGCTGCCATTTTAATATAATTCTCAAGTGCGGCAGCCAACATGGGGATGATTGGGGGCAAGAGATTTTGTGCAAGAAAATAACTCCGGTTTGCTGGCACTACAAGCACTACCCTCAGAAGTCTTAGAAGGTATGTTGTAACCTGACAGGCTTCAGGTTTTGATGTGTGAGAAGCAGGTAGAGCAGAAGCAATGAAATCTATTAAACCAGCTTGGCGAGATGCCTGCAGCTCAGTATCCCTTCCCTCCAAGAACTAGAGACAAATGTATGTCTAAACCAATGAGTAAGCAATATTAAATAGGAAAAAAAAATAATAATAATAATAAAGAGAGAGAGCTGAAAAGATATGATTGAATCAAGAAATAGAAAATCAACATCATAATGCAAAACATTTTAATGTTTACATCAATAGCAGGAAATTATAGTAGGATAATTATTCATTGATTTGACAGTTATGCTTTTGTTTCCCAATATAAAAAAGAAAAGTGAGACATGAAAAGTAAATTAGGGTGAAGTCCAATTCGGTACCTTGATTATTTCAGCAGTTATTAGTCCAAAAGTAGAAGCACCATCTTTTCTTGCTTGGCGAAGTTTTTGCAGTTCCTGAAGCCATCTGGCAATTTTTCCCCTTGCAGTTCCCACAGCAGTCCTATAGCCTATCCCAGAATTTTCAACACCAACAGAAGGCTCAGAAAATTCATGTTTTAACGACATTAGTCTTTGTCGAATTTTTTTAATTTTTCGCTTCAACGAGTTATGCATTGACTCATTGCCAGTCGCAATACTTGAGCCTCCTGTACAACCACTGTTGTTTACCTGATAATCTTCTCCATTACCATTTGGAGTAGATCTGCCTTGAGATTGACCATCCTTATTCACAGAGCGCCGCAATAAAGGTGAAGATTGATCCCTAAAATCCATTGATGCTCTTTCGCGTATTTGTTCAAGATAAAACTTGCGTCGCTGTTCACTTTCACTGAGTCTTTCGGCTAATCTCTGAGCCAGGAGTTCAGCCTCCTCCTGTTGAGCTTTGGCTCGGACCTCCTTTCTTCGCATCTGTTCCATAGCCCTGGCTTCTCGTGCTGCACTTGATGCTTTGCGCTCTTCTTCCCTTCTTACTTGAGCCTCTTCCTTCCTTCGCTGTGTCTCTGCAAGACGCTGCAACTTTTCTGCTTCAATGAGCCTTTTGCGTTCCAGAACAGCTTCTTCCCTAGCCATGTCCTCTCTCTGTTTAATTTTCATCACTTGAAGTTTCTCAGCCCTTCTCAATTCTGAATCCTGAAGTTTCTGCCTCAATATAAGCTTTTTATTCTCTTCATTTAGCGATGTGATGAATCGTACCTCATTAACTTTACTGCTTTCATCACCAGCTCTTCTCACAACCTGAGCTAAATATGCTTCATGCCTGGATTCACTACGCTGGTGGCGAGCAAACATTGACTCCCGCAACTTATTGCTGCGAACAGTCTGCCACTCATTCACACGGTTCAGTTTATCTGAAGTTCTTTGAAGTTTTTGCATTCTCTCATTCTCAAGTTGAGTTCTGATTCTAGTCGCTCGTGCATGTTTCTCTTCTGCTTCCTTTTTAAGGTCAAGAGCTGATTTTTTTTTCTTCTCAGGAGACATAAGTTTATCATGCAAAAGGCGTGCACGATCAGCACTTTTCCTACCCATGCCTGGTGAATAAGAAAAACGGGAAGATACACGATGTGGAGTGCCAAGTATGTCCTCCCAATTCCTCTTCTCTTTCCAGGCATCCATAGATTTCCATGAGTTCCCATTTCTCTTTTCCCCCTCTTTCTCAAGACAAGGAATCTGTCTTTTCAGGGAATCAATTGCTTTGGAATTTTTCCCCACAGTATGTTCTGCCAACATTTTTTCTTTCTTAGAAAGAGGTCTATCAGCTTCTGAATCTGCATTTAGTTCCCTATTGATCGGTAACCTGGATGCAACAGAATTAGATTTCCCTGAATCAATATTTTTCTTTTCTTTGATTGATCTCCGAGAGTTATTTGTGGATCCAGTTCGTTTCCTTTCCTTTGCTGTTGATTCTTTAGGATCGCCTTCTAAATTACTTCTCTTAGCATATTTATCGCCTTCTAAATTACTACTCTTAGCAGACTTCTCCAAAATATCACCTGATCTGGGATGGCGACTATGAAAATCAGACCCCAGTTTCTCAGCACTGTTAGCATGTTCCCTAGTTCTCTCTTGTTGTATTTTCCTAAAAGCCTCAAGAGATGAAGAAAGTATCTCTGCCCTGCGTGGTGAAGATGTCATTCGACGAACCTGCACTTGTGTAATACGGTTAATGCTTTTAGGCAATGTAGACACAAGATAATGAAGAATGAAAACAAATATCAGGCACCGCATGTCAATAAATTCTTAGAGAATATAAGGAAACCATGGCCAGATCCACATCAGAGAGACTAATGCACATATGTCTCAAGTGAGATATCTTCACTAAACATGAACTTCATTTTTTATATTTGTTAAGATTATGTATTTTACTGTAAACGACCAAAATTAGTTTTACAGCTCCATTTATATTCGGTGAAGAGCAATCATTCCAGCATATAAGCATTAATGAAAGGAAATATGAAGAAGTTGAAAAGTGACAAGACAAATTACAAATCGCATAAACTCTTTGGCAGGCCCTTTTTTTTTTTTTTTTTTTTTTTTTTTTTTTTTAATCTATTAAAAGTACATTCAAGGAAGATGGAATAAAGCAGTCATGTCTAGAAATCTACAGCTACAAGGAAACCAAAAATATAATCCATTGACATTCAAATCAATAAGAATGCTAACCTCCCATGAGAGGGCATGTGGTCTGCGGTGATCAGACTGCATGACCAATGGGACCCCAGCAGTTACATGAGAAGAGGACCTTTTCAGTTTCTCAAATTCCTCAACTCTGGAATTCAGTTCTCTAAAATCTGATGCAGCTTCTTCAAGAACAAGGACGGCCTCTTTCATCTGCTCATTATCACATTCAAGTTCGCACAGAAGATAGAGTTCATCTACAGCCCTATTAAGGCTCTCAAAGAGAAAGCACCAAAGGCGTTGCCTGAATCTTTCTTTACTTTCACACGTGTCATCTGAATCTATGGAATTCAAATTTTGAGTTTCCAGTAAATCCTCAGAAATTGAATCACACTTTTGATACCTAGACTCTTCCACAGAGGTGGTCGGGATAGACTCTGCCACACTCCTATGTTCACTCTTCTCAGGTGGCACAACATAATCTTTGGAGCAACCAGTTTCAGATTTCAAACCAGGTGTTTCCATCATTCCAATCTCTTCAATGGCAGCACATGGAGTATTTTCACCGGACAAATGGGAAGCATCATCAGTTTTGCTGTTAACATGTTCACAATCTACATCGAAATTAGAAGTAATAGTGCTTTGACTAACTATCCTCTCACTTGTAATTTGCACTTTCACATCTTCTGAAGATACCTCATTCACCCCATTACGGTCTTTGGCAAAAGAAACTGCCATTGGGGAGAAAGAATCAGACTTTGGAAGAGCCTGATTTTCATCTACTATTGCCCCAACAAATTTGTTGTCCTTGCTATCAATTTTGGAACATGAAATAGATTCATCAGCACTCTCAGATTTCATACAGACCAAATTATGATTATCAATCCCACCTAATTTAATTCCAGTCTCACGAGCGTTACCATAATGCATTATCAATGTTCCATCATCTAAATCACCCCACTTAATTTTTGGAAAGACAGTATTCTTCTGAGTATGTTCTTCATTGGCAACTACTTTACAATTAGAATCTTGGATTTCTGTAGCTGCTAAATGAAATGATTTGGAGTTTCCATTATCTTGACTGACAACACATTTATCAAGGCAATGAACAACCCCCTCATCTTCAGTTGAAACAGAAGAGGAATTTGGAGCACTATTGGGACCATGTATAGTACAGTCTCTACCAGCATCCGAAGCAAACTTGTCTTTGTCTTGTTTTACGCCCGATGGAAGCTGGGTGCTCATATGAGTAGAATTTTGTTTTCCAGAGAGTCCTCCAACCAAACCATGCTGTGGGAATTTTGATTTGCTTCTATGTTTCTGGACAATAAGTTCATATGAAAGCTCCTTCTTTGTTATTAAAAAGAAAACATCAAAAGATAAATCCTGGAATGAGTAGCAACAGAAAGAAATGGCATTTGGAGGGTAGAATGCAAAAATTTGGTAATGGGGATAGATGAAAATCAACCTAGAAGATGAGGTAAATTATTAATGCATTAATTTCTTCAACAGACCTAACCAGAAAACCATCACACCTTCTGGAAATTAGACACAAATTAGACACAATTGGTTCACGATACCAACACTCTGAATTCCAGACAGAACTAATCAGGAATTACATCAGAGTTGAGGCATCAAATATATAGTGATGTACTGGGGATATCAAAAACAAATTCGTTTTTAATGTGTGAGATCAAATTCTCAATTGAAGTTATCTATCTCAGCTATTCCATGCGATAAATAATCAAAAGAACTCAAGAATATTTTGACTCGGTCCACAAGATGAACATCAGCCGACATCTTTCAACCAAAAAAAGAAAATAAATTTGAACGCATTATATAACTAACTCCCACGATAATCCAAATGTAAATGCATTTTCTTTGCAAAAAGCGAAAAATATTCATTCTTCGATCCTTATAAGAAATTATTGTGTAAAAATATACCTTTTTGACTTGCATCCATCCAGAGCCTTGATCATCTCCTCCACTGCTCTCCATCAACTACCGCACCACCCTAGATATTTTTTTCTCGCAAAATCACTAATTTAAATAAGACTTTTGTTTTACAACAACTGTACAAGACCATTATTAATTTGCACATAAAGTTAATGTCTGGCTAATTAAATAAAAATAGTAATTTGTCCCAAAAGATTCAAACTGCACTTCCAAAAATTTCAACAGAAGATACTAACTATGATTAAAAAAAACATGGATTTTACAGTAAAGGTACAAAATTCTCTGAAAATGGGATTTTAAATAATTCTATTAAACAGATTGAAAGTCCTATATTTAATCAAACTGGAAAAAAAATCCAAGAAAATGTAAGAGATAACAAGAGCCCAGCAATGCGTAATCTAGAATTGCTTTAATATTTTCTTGGGTTGCTTAAAATGGAAAATTTTGATCGACAGAATGTGAAAAGGAATACTGGGAGCTGCGGTCGGCATATGATATGAGGAGAAACAAGAAAAAAGTGTGTAGTGATGGAGAGAGTGATTTTTCTGACTGATCTCTCCTCACTATTGGCTCTTAATTACATTTAAGTCCCACATTCCTCATGTTTGTCAATTGACAGTTTTGCCCATTTGCCTAGGGCTGCGCAGTATGTGCAGGGATGAAAAAATGTCTTTGTCCACCTCATCCCATCCAGCTTCGTCGATGGATCAGGTTAAGAACTACTGACGTATTTTATTCTTTGCACCGTCATGTGTCCTATATCGTCTTGTTGTCATTGGTGAAAATTATGTGAAAAAATTTCTTAAGAAAATTCGGTCTAAAAGAAACAAATAAAAAAGAAATGATAGCAACAATATTATCATATTTTTAATAATGTTTAATTTATAAATCAATATAAATGACCGATGAATAAATTGATATTATTTGTGGGCCCGTAAGAATGTATGGTTAGATAAAGTTTGATTACTTATAAATGATTTATGAATTTCGCAAAACAGAAGATTATTAAAGGGGACTTTTCCTATCCATGTTTATTTATTACAATAATTTTAGTGATGTTAGTTAATTATCTTCAAATTTAACTATCGTAATCAACTTGTTTTGCATTAGGATTAGCCTAAAGAAATTTGACGCCTTAGATGATTAATTATTAGGAGGTCATTAAGCCCGTGTTTGGTTGGGATAAAAATCATATTTTTAACAGATTTTGATAAAAATTGATGAAACGTGTCATTGAAAAGTTGTGAGACTCGTGAAATATATAGTTAAAATTAATTATTAACTTTGATTTAGATTAAAATCTGAATTTTAATCGATATCAAACATGGGCTAAATATAATTTTTTACAAGCATAACAATACTTAAATATATATAGATACATAATATATTTATTTTTAAACGAAAACTTTGTGCAATTCAAAATATAGAACAGTAAATACATTTCTCGCAATTCGAACGATTAAGCTAGCATCCGATAAGTCAATGAACCTATATACTCTGATAGAATATAAATTAAAATAAGGATGATCTAGGTGGTTAAGGTATACTGCATACGTTATTTATAAAGGGAATCTTCTTAAAGAGAAATGCAATCTCAATACAACACTCCACAAAATGGAGTAGATTAAAACTATTGATGTGTACTAAAATGCGTAGTATTAGACAATGAGACTTGAGCCCAACAACATAGAACATAAGATATGAAACACGAGCAATTAAATGCTTGTTTGATAATACCTTTAAGTGCTTATAAGTTGTGCGTCTTACTGAATAAACAGATAAATGAGTAATAAGTGCGAATAGCTCTTGAAATTTATAGATACTCTCTAAATTGTAAAAATGATCTTTAAAAAATAAAGAGTCCATTGAAAATCTAAGTTGTAGGTCATATGAATGTATAAATTAAAAAAAAAAAGTATATTAAGGTGCTTAAAAAAATAAAGCATTGCTAGATATGTACTAAAAATTGGAAGATAGAGGGATTTTGCCAATGATGATGGTGAACATGAGAAATGGGTCTTTAAAAAAAATGAAAGGAAAAAAAAATTAACACAACTGTTTCGGAAGCTCTTTCCAATGATTTTCAATTCGGTGTTTTTTGGGTTCAGTCCAACGTACCTTTATCTACTAACAACAAATTCAACCAGCTCCGATCCACAACCAATATAATTCACCTCGATTGTTATTCAATCTTACCCACGAAAGATAAGAAACGATGATGATTTGTAGCCACAAAGGTAAGGAGAAAATACCACAATGGTAGGCAATGAAGGAACCACCAATTACACAAAATAAACAAGCGGTTTTGACACTTCTAGGGGCATTTTTCACACACTTCAAGGGTAGCTGAGATTCTTCTTTCCTCACACACAAGCCACATAAATCATACTAGAAAGTGGCTAGGTTTTATTCCTTATAGGTATGCTAAGGTTAAGCTTTTTAATTGGACCAAGAAAGAGGTAATTGGGCTAAGATTAAAGCCATCCAAGATGGAATATAATTGGATCAGGTGGAGTTCATGGACTTGGTTGTTGGACTTATTTCATTTATCTGCCTATGCCTATGAAATATATTAATCCACATTAACATCATAGCCCAGGATTTATTTGGTATAAAAAAATCCAACAAATTTCCACCTTGATGTTCAATAAATCTGCAAGAAATCAAAACACACAATTAGTGCTTGCAAAATTAAGGTAGCCAATAAAATTGGATCAAAAACCTTACCTCAAACACATACCACACCTGCTCCATATACTCACCGAGGCTAAAGTCAAGAACACCCAAGTAGAAGTAAATATTGAACAGTAAAAAATTAAGAGCAAATACGTATGCGATGATGATATATTATAAGATAACACACACAAATCTTTTAAAAAATACGTTCACATAGAACTACTGATTAACACAAAGTTAATCGAACACATGGTCAATCACATATGCAACAAATGTATAAATGACCCACGAAAAGATCTCACCACACTTACCCTATCTCACCACTCACACTTTGAGAACACATATCTCCTCTCATCGCCCACCATACTCACTAGACTGATCACTCAACTCATGTTTAACTGGTAGGTCACAATAGATCCTAAGTCTACGGGATAATCCTCTATCACTACATCATTTCTCTCAACCTACGTGGATAATGGGTCTCCACCTAATAGAAATGATAGAAGTGCCTCTCTCACACACTCTACCTGATCAGGATCTCTTACAGATAAATGATTCTAGACATTTAATTACATCTCCACTCGTGATCCAAATGTCACATTCTACATCCCCGATACAAATCACAATGTATCCTTAGGCATCTATACTTCATCTCATCAAAATACATCCAACACACTGCTAATGTATCTAACCCACTATCCGTGTAAACAATTACACTAAGTAATCATATTACCTCAAATTCATGCAAATAGACATATCAAACACATTGAAATGTAGCATATACTGATGCAACAAAATTAGGCAACCATATATATGCAGAAAGGATCACACACAGATACACATGCAATAACTATGTTTACTCTCAATAAACCTCACTAGGGTCATTACTCGAC